CGCAGCCTGGCCCTCTGCCTGCTGAGTGCACTCAGGGCCAACGGTGAGCGTGACCTCCCCGTGCTGGGGGGACTGGGACCCCCTTGTTCCAGCACAACCCCTTCCCAACTGCTCCCTTGCCCACCACAGGGTTAGGAGCTGGCCCCACCTGCACTCCATCTCTCTCAGCACAGGGCTCCCCATCTCCACTCTGGTGCAGTCTGGCCCCAGCTCCCAGGCACCATCCCCTCCCCTTGCACTGGGGGACATGTGGATCTGTGTCTCAGGGCATCACAGGGGCAGCCAGTGCCAAAGAGGCAGTGGAAAGGCCAACCTCCTTGTGGAGGGGGTCCCAGAGCTGGGGTCCCAGTGCCCTGACCTCTCACCTCCCTTCCAGGGTCGCGAGGAGTGTTTTGCCAGGTCCGTGATGCTGATCGGCAGCAGCTGAGCTTCTACAGCAAGCTGGGCTTCGTCGCCCTGCCGGTGGCCTGGGGCAGCTCTCCCGGCACTCAGCTCCTGGGACGTCTCCTCTGATGGGGGCAAGGGGAGACAGTGCCCCGGGACAGGCTGATCCCCCAGGACAGGCTGACCCCCTGTCCCACACAGCACTGGCCTGAGGGAGCGGGAGCAGAGGGGCACCGTGAGCAGGTCAGGTACATGAGAGAAGAGACACGGCATGGGGGCGAGCAGGATGCCACTGGGATGTGTGCAGGGCTGCGAGGGTCCTTCAGTAGCAGAGAGCTATTTCTGCCATCTCAGGAGATTTGAGCACCAGGGCCCCTCTGTGCCACCCTGACTGTTCCTGCCTGCTGGGCATCCTCCGCCTTTGCTGGGGAGCCAGGCTGTCTGCAGCCCCCCAGGCCTGTTGGAGCCCATGGGCAGGGTTTGGGGTGGTGGTCCTGGAGCACAGCATGGTGCCTTAGTACTACAGGAATGTCCCTGTCACATAGGCTGGGCTGCCTGGCTCTCTCCATCCCCTGGGTGACCCAAGGATGGGCAACTGGTGCCAGGCTGGCTCTTGGCTCCGAGGACCTGCTTGTCTGTATGGACCAATCTGGTGTGGGACATGGTGAGGCAGCCTCCATCTTTGTGCCTGGGGGCTGAGAGGATCCTGTTCTTGGCAATAAAGTGTTTGCTGGGCTCCCACCATGGCTTGCCTCGGGGGAAAATGTTGGGGTGCCAGCAGGTCCTTTTCGCATCCTCATGCCCTCTCTCCACCTCACTGGCCGTTGTTACAGTCGGTCCTCAAACAAAGCAGCTCCCCATAGAACCGCAGCCCCAACCGGGCACCAGCTCCACTCCCTGGGAAGGAGCTCCGGCCGCTGGCAGTGTGCACTTGCAGCCTCAGCCCTGTGCCATGCGGCTTTCCTGTGGGATGGGATGCCTTGGCCTGGGCCTCCCCTGTGGGTCTGGGGGGCCGCAGCCCGCCCCAGACAGGCAGGATGGCCAAGAGGGAGCATCTGCCCAGCCATCCCACTCCAGCCTCTGGAAAAGGGCTGCCAGGGGCACACCGTTGCTGGATGTTTCCTTCCCTTGCCCTCCAGAGCCGGGTGACCCTGCCTCGGGGTGAGGAGGGGGCTGGGGTTGCCAAGAGCCCGGGGGGGGACGCTGCTGGCAGCCCCCTCGCGTCCCCCGAGCGGCCGGTCAGCCCCCGAGGCTCCGTCCCGGGGGGCCGGGGCCGGCCCTGGAGCGGAGCCCAGCCGGGGCGGGGGCCGCGGTCGGACCGGCCCCATCCCGGGGCAGCGGATCGGGGGCGCGGGCCCCGTCCTGGCCGTACCGGCCGGGGGGCCGGGGCCACTCGGCGCGGGCCGGGGCGGCGCGGGCGGCCCCGGACACGGGCACGGCGCGGGGCGGGCCGGGGCGGAGCAGGGCGGCAGGGACCGAAATTGCTCGGGGCGGCACGGTTCGGCAACGGTACGGCTCTGCTCGGCACGATACGGCTCGGTTCGGCACGGCTCAACACGGCTTGGCTCGGCGCGGCTCCGTTCGGCACGGCACGGCTCGGTACGGCTCGGCTCGACGGGGCTCGGTTCGGCTCGGTACGGCTCGGCCCGGGCCGCCGGCACTCGGCCGGACGCTGTCGCTCGGCGCTGCCGCGCATCCCGCAGGGACCAGAGGTCCCGCCCGGCGCCGGCGGGGAGCGGGACTGCCCCGGGAGCGGCGGGGGCTGCACCGCGCGGGGCCCGGGCGCCTCGGGGGTGTCCCGGGGGGGGCCGGTCTCACCGCTCCAAAGCCCCGGTGGTCAGAGCGTGTCCGTGCCGTCCTCGTGGGCGCTGCGTGTGCCGCGGTGCGGGGCCGTGCCGTGGGCCGTGCCCGTGCCCCGTAGGCAGAGTGACTGGGTGCGGGCAGCGCGTGTGTCCTGCGGTAAGGGCCGCCCGGCAGATCCGCAGGTTTGTGCGTGCCGCCTCGGGGCTGTACCACACCCCAACTGTGCTGTATGTGGGCTGCGGGAGGCTCGTGGGCCGAGCTGCCGGTTACAAGGGTCGGTGGAGACTCGGGAGTTCCGTGAAGACCGAACTTGCTGTAGCTGTTGGAAGAGAGGCTGGAGGGATGGAGGGATGTGAGGCAGGAGGGCTGGTGCGGCTGGAGAGGTGATTCTCTCTTTGCTGCTGGCCTTGTGTCTTCTCAGCTGCTCTCAAAGGAGCCCGCGGCTGAGCCAACCCCCTGCCTCCAGCAGCTCCAGGCAAGCTGGCTCCCTGCTTCGGGGTGCCTGGGACTCCGGACCCGCCACCCACACCACAGTCCTCAGACTCACTGCCACCCCCTCAGTCTGTCGGGGCTGTCCAGACTTTGTGGCTGACGACTGATGTCTGCAAATTCCTCCGGGATCTTTCCTTCCTGTCTGTAGCTGGTCCCTCCCAGGGCTGCCCGTCTGGAGCCCGGGAAAGCTCAGAGCAGAGTGGGCAGAGCTGAGGGCTGTGCCATGTCTTGGGGAGGCTGAGTGGGGGTACGAGCTGCAAGGAGCTGCTGTGACCTGCCCTGGCTTACAGGGTTACAGCAGGATACTGGGACATCAGGTAGCCCAAAGGGGCTGGACCTGGAGTTGACAAGGGAAGGGAAGTGCAGCCCCAGCCCCACACAGTGCTCTGCCCTTTGCTGACACCCCGAGAGCCAGAGTGTCCTTTCCTCAGCAGGGTCCCTGTCCCTGCCTGGGATGGGGGCACACAGTGGGTGGTGGGGCAGCAACCCTGCTTTCGGGGCAGCGAGGGGCAGTGAGCTCCCAGCCAGCTGGAGGTGATGCCAAGCCTGCCAGGGTGGCCAGGTTTCCGTGGTGACCCTGGGCTGCTCCCTGGTGCTTCTGAGACCAGTTTGTTTGTGGCATCCTGGTCCCCTCCAGACTTTGGCAGTGCTGACCCTGGAGCTTCAATCCATGGGGGCCCTGCAGGCAGGGAGCCAGCAGGTCCCCTCCTAAGCAGGGTGGGAGTGTTGAGTCTCCCTTGCTTCGTGCATCCCAGGACTGCTGGGAAGCAGGAAGAGCGAAGCAGGCTCATCCAGACAGCCGGATTGCGAAAGGCCCAGCTCTGGTCTGTGCGTGCCGGGGCCTTGGGGACAAGGGGAGGGATGGAGCACTGAAGCCATGGGACTCACCAGACCTTCTCCTGCCCTGAGTGCTGGGGACGTGACCTCATGCTCTGAGGGATGTCCTGGCATGGGCCTCAACAGTGTGACTCTATAACCCCTTAACATTCCCAAGGAAGGATAAACAGAGCAAGCTTCCTCTCCCTTGTGTTGGCGGGTTTCCCAGGTCCTCAGTCACTTGTGCTGCTCCTCTCTGAGTCCTCCCAGTTGTCAGTGCTTGGGATGTTCCATGTCGCCGTGCATGTGTCCAAGGCTGCTGCTGAGTGAGCACATTCCTGTCAGGCCACGATGGCCTGGCCTTCCCCTACTGCTGTGGCTTGGGATGTCATCCCCGTGCCGGCAGAGATGCCCGGTGCTGATCAAATATGCGGACTCGCCTGGGGTCCTGCTTCACCAGGAGCTGCCCCTTCCCAAGATCCATTCACTGGGGTTTTGCTGGGGCAGACTAATGTCCCTCTGCATGCCTGGTGAGTGCCAAATGACAAACCTGATTTGAACAGTCCTTGGGAACTTGCAGCCCCCTCTGGGCCCTGGGCACCCCCGCTTGGCACCGCTCACCCTGCCAGCCCCTGTGCAGGACACCTGGGGGAGCACAGTGATGGTGGGGGCAGTGCCTGGCCATGAGGGCTGCAGGCCCTATCAGGGGGACTCTGTCTGGGGGGGCGTGGAACCACTGTCACTCACCGGGTCAGGCAGAGCCAGTGGGCTGGCATGGGAGCAGGTAGAGCAGTGCTGTGGCTCCTGCTGCCATGTGGGGCTGCCCTCTGCCCCGAAGGGTCCACGTGCCCGTGCCAGCCTCAGCAGCTGAGGGCTGAGGCTGGGGGGTGAAGGGAACCTCAGGGTTTTGGCTCTGCTGGGCTCTTGGACACCCCACCACTAGTGCCAGCTGTGGCCTGGGCTGGGATGTGACTCGAGCCCCACGCACACCCAGCTGGGACATTCCTGAGGTTTCCTGGGCAGTGGCAAGGACCTGGGCTGCTTCCAGGCTCCCACGCCCTGTGCTCACTCCAGCCAGCCCATCCTCCCGAGCCCTTTCCCCTTGCAGTGGAGTGCTGCTGTGCATCTGTGCCTGGGGCAGCATGTTGAGCATGGCACAGTACAAGCCCTGGTCCAAGAAGAGATTGTCCCTGGCTGGAGTGGGCAGCTGGCAGCAGGATGGTTGGGGTGCTGGGGTGGGCTCCCCATCCAGAGCAGCATGCAGGACCGGAGCAAAGCCTGCCAGCGGAGCAAGCAGCCGGGCAGTGTCACACAGCTGGAGAGGAGCAAACGCACAGCTTATGCCTCCGAAAATGGAAAAAGTGATGTGGACAAAGAGAGCCCTGTTAGCCTGACTGCCTGGGACACGGACATGGAGCGTGTTCAGAGAGGGAGGTGGTACAGAAACAGGGAAGAAGCTGTGCTGTGCTGCAGGGAGCTCACCCTGTCAGCCCGGCAGCTGTCCTGGGCTGGGCACGGGAAGGGCTTTGGCCTGCACAGACCTGAGCAGGGCATGTCACTGGGAAACTCCGAGGTGAGTGGCAGAGCTGAGGTGCCAGGGCAGAGGAGGTGCAGTGGGAACAAGGGGCACCGGAGCCTGAGCAGAGTTGAATTGGGACCTGGGAGAAGAGATTACAGACCCTGGAGGTTATGCTGCTGAGTCTCAGTGGGGACTCAGTGCTTTGCCCAAGCACTTTCTAAGGTGCCACATTCTGGTCTGTGGTCCTACGTGATTTGCTCCTCAATGCACAGACTTAAATTTTCCTTGTAGCCAAGGGTATAGGCTGCACGATGCTGCTTTACTGGGCTGTCCAGGTCTGTCCCTGTCCCCATCCCTGCTCCCCGCCCTGTTTTTGTCTCTGCAGTCTGTACGAGGAGGGGACTTTTTTCCTCCTCATGGCACAGTTTTACTTTGGAAAACATGTGATCCTCACCAGAAAGCCCACAGAATGGTGACTGACTTCCCCATGTAACCACATTTTAGTTCCAGCAGGTGACCAGTTTTAATCCACTTAGCAGAAGGTGCACTGATTTTGTTGAGTGCTAATTATTCATTAAAAGGTGGTGCAAGATGAATCGAATGCCTTCCAGTCTCAGCCTGTTGTATCAACACAGTTACTCCAATTAACTGAACCTGTGATCTCATAAAAGGCCATTCCCACTTCCTGACACGGGCTATTTCTGCCGGACTGAGGAGATTGGCATTAATTGTGCTGCTGTCCTTTAGGGTTGTACTGACCCCATTGTGAAACAGCCCAGTGACTGCCCACAGCTGCAGCAGAGCATCCTGCTCACTCAGGGCAAGAGCCGGGGAAGCTCCAGTTCTTGTGTGCTTGCAGCTTTCCCCATGGCACTAGGTGTGTGACAGTTGGCACTGAGGGGGTCCAGATTTGTGTGTCAGGATAGCTCTGGGGGTTTATAATGCTTCCTTTGGGCAAGGCAATGTCCCCTTGGTGACTGATGGGCAGAATAAGTTTTTTTGCTTCTGTGAGTGGTAAACTCATCCCTTTGCTGCTTTCCAGGTGATGTGGAGATGAGGATGGAGCGTTCCCGTCCCATACCCAGAAACCCCCTTTCCTAAGCTGTTGGCAGGGCTGGGGTGGCTCTTTGCACCCGCCCTCCCTTCCTCCTGCCAGGACAGGCTGGGTAAAAGGTTCAGCAGAGCGTTTCCCTGCTGCCTTCCCACAAACGCTTCCTGCTGGGCTCTGCTGTTCTCATGGTGCCAGAGCAGACAGCAGAGGTACTGGTAGCCCAGAGCTGGCTCCCACCAACCCCAGGGGCCCGGGTGCCTGGGCCAGTGCATGCTCCTGCCTGTGCCATGTCCCCACCAGCTCTGTGGTGTCCCCTGTGCCCCAGCTCCGATAGAGGAGAGAGCCAGATCTGTGCTGATGTGATTGCACTGAGGGGGCTGCTGTGCTTCATAGAATCATAGAGTCTATATGGCTGGAAAAGACCTCCAAGATCATCAAGTCCAACCTTTTACCTTTTCAACTAAACTAAGCACTAAGTGCTTAGTCATTCCCACCATTGTATCTGGTGTAGAACTGGGAGCATTGTCAGGATTTGAATTTGTTCTCCTTCCTCTGTGATGCTGCAGATAAATTAGACCTAAAAAGTTGGTGCTTTTTAATATTGTCTTATGACAAAGGCGATGTGTGTGAGTGTGGCGGGCAGGATCTGTGCTTGGGGGGATGTGGGGCACAGAGACGTCCTGCTGGGGGTCTGTCCTGGGGGTGTTTTGGGGTGTGTGCTTTCCCACTGTGGAAGGGACTGGCTGGAAGGGTGGCATGGGACTGCAGTGGTGGGAGGAGGGTGGGTGGCTGTGCTGGTGGTCTTGGGTGAGCATTGGCCTGAGCTTGCTGACAGCGCCTGTGCAGAAATGCTGCTCCTGGGCTATGGGGTCCCTGGGAATGCTGCACCAGGAAGGGAGGGTAGCTCACAGAGAAGAGTTTTCACTATTGTTTGCGATGGGACTGGTGCAGGAATACCACATCTCCCTCAGGTATTCAGGGAGCCACAGATGTTGTTGGAGTAATGGAGAAAGGCAGCACAGGAATGTGAATGCTTTGGCTGCCTTGCTCCTCACAGAGGGCAAGAGCATGGACTGGAATCCTCTGGGCCAGCAGCCATTCACTTCTCTTGCTGGATCGAGCTCCTGGTCGGTCCAGCTGAACTTTCCCTGTGCCCTGGGACTGTTCCAACTCCCTCAGCCCTGGCAGCTGATCCCCCTCCTTCCAGCCACCCCTCTGAGGGTGACACACATCTCCGTGCCTGTCTGTCCTCGCTGCCCTTCGGTGCAGTGGATGTGACCGGGCAGCGCGGTGGGGGCTCAGTAGCAGCTGTTGGCAGAGGGGGCCGTGGAGTGGGGGGCACTGGGCAGAGCCCCTGACAGCCCCAGGGGCGCAGGACCGGTGCAGGAGCTGTGTGCGGGGGCACCGGGCTGGCTCTGGAGGGACAAGGCACGTGGTGTGCTGGTGCTGGGCAGGGGGTTTAGCCAGCAAAGGGCTGGATGGGGGGGCTGGTGTTCCAGCACAGCGTGCACGTGCCCTGACCCTCTCTGCCCCTGCAGAGCCACGCTGCCATGGGAGGCTGCGGCACGTGGGCATGGCGGGAGCTGCTGGTGATGCTGGGCAGCGTGTGGCTGGGGGTGGGCAGCTCCCAGCCCACCCCCCTGGGCCCCACGCACACTCCTGGGCCCCAGCTGAAGTTTCGTCTGGCCGGTTACCCACGCAAGCACAACGAGGGTCGTGTCGAGGTTTTTTACAACGACGAGTGGGGCACCATCTGCGACGACGACTTCACGCTGGGCAACGCGCACGTGCTGTGCCGGCACCTCGGCTTCGTGGCTGCCACCGGCTGGGCCCACAGCGCCAAGTATGGCAAAGGCGTTGGTAAGAGCGGGGTGGTGGGCACAGCCCCCGGCACAGCCCTTGCACTGCCTGGTCCGAGGTGTGTGCCCCAGCAGGTCTGCATGTGCTGCTGGTGGGGCAGGGTGGGGGTGGACAGGGCCCGGGTTTGCCGAGTGCCCAGCAGTGCATGTGTGCACTTGTGTGTGTGTGTGCACATGTGTGTGTGTGCACGTGTGTGTGTGCACGTGTGTGTGTGTGCACGTGTGTGTGCACGTGTGTGTGTGCACGTGTGTGTGCACGTGTGTGTGCGCACGTGTGTGTGTGCACGTGTGTGTGCACGTTGTGTGTGCACGTTGTGTGTGCTCGTGTGTGTGTGCACGTTGTGTGTGCACATGTGTGTGCACGTTGTGTGTGCTCGTGTGTGTGTGCACGTGTGTGCACATGTGTGTGTGCATGTGTGTCTGTGCACGTGTGTGTGTGTGTGCGTGTGTGTGCACGTGTGTGTGTGCATGTGTGTGTGTGTGTGTGTGTCTGTATGCACATGCAAAGTGGACTGGGAACTTCACATGTTTGAATGTGAGCTGCTGTGCAGGTGTGAGGGGCTGTTGCGGGGCTATGCATGGCTTAGGGGGGCCAGTATGGTGGGCTCGGGTTGGTGTAGGCAGAGGTGTAGAGATGTAGTATGTGGAGGGCTGTTCAGAGCCCAGGACATGGGGCTTTATGCATGTTATGTGGGGCTCTATGACTGTCAGAGCAGCCCCCTGGGGAGCTGGAGACTCCCCATTTGCAGATCTCCCACCCAGGGCTTTAGTCTTGGCATTTTGCTGGCCTTGCCTTTGTGCTGGGGGAGCCCCAGTCCAGCTGTGCACCTCCGTGGTCCCTGGCTGTGCTCCTTGGGCACCTTCTCTGTTCCCTCACCCCTGGCCCGTGTCTGGCAGGGCGGATCTGGCTAGACAACGTGAACTGTGCCGGAGGAGAGAAGAGCATCGGGGACTGCAAACACCGGGGCTGGGGCAACAGCGACTGCAGCCATGAGGAAGATGCGGGTGTCATCTGCAAGGATGAGCGCATCCCAGGCTTCAAGGACTCCAATGTCATTGAGGTGAGGAAGCTGATAGCCAGGGTGGGTAGCACCACGCTCCCACAGAGCATCCTGGATGGGTGCCTGGGTGTGGGGTGCTCTGGGCACTCTCCCTCGTGGCGCAGGATCCCAAGGTGACAGGAGGCTTTCCTGGTTGTGCTCCCTGGAGGTGCACCTGGGGACTCAGGGTGATGAGGGGCATGGGCTACACAGGGTCAGGTCCTTGGCCACCCAGGGCCACTAGATGTGGCCGGCAGGGATGCAGGACCTGGCCATCCCTGTGCTTCACCCGTGACTGCACCCTCAGAGCATCCCTGGGAGTGGGCTGGCAGGAGCTGGGGCAGCGGGATGCAGTGTGAGCCAAGGCTGACCTGAGCCCTGCAGACAGAGCAGAGCCACGTGGAGGAGGTCCGCCTGCGGCCGGTGGTGTCGGGGGCCCGGCGGCAGCTGCCGGTGACAGAGGGCATCGTGGAGGTGCGCTACAAGGACAGCTGGGCACAGATCTGTGACGAGGGCTGGGACAGCCACAACAGCCGCGTCATCTGCGGCATGATGGGTTTCCCGGCTGAGAAGAAGGTCAACAGGAACTTCTACAAGTGAGTGAGGCCAGCAGGGAGCCCATGGAGGTGGGATGTTGGAGAATAGCCAGGGGCATGGGGCTGGGGCACAGCTGGGGATGGTGCCAGGGACATGGGGCAGTGCTGGGGGGACAATGGGGGCTGTACTTTTGGGTATTGTGGCTCTCCAGAATCCCTCCCATTCCTGCTGCTCTCCAGTCCGAGTGCCAGCTGGCCATATGGGCACTCACTAACCGAGCCAGGAGTCCGTGGCATGGCTGGGGGGCTGTGGCTGCTCACCTGCCTCATGCCCTACTGCAGAGGCCACTCCAAGAGAGCAGCTTTTGCTCCCTGGCAGTGGTGCAATATCATTTTCCTCTGATGAAGAGTGTGGGGGTTCCCATCCCAAGGGGAGGTTTGCAGTCAAGGCAGGCTGGGATACTCCAGCAGCACTGTGGCCTGGGTGAGGGGCAGGGACACGCTGTCACAGTGGTGCCCAGTGTGGTGCCTGGTGCTGGGTGTGCCCTGACCAGGCAGCTCTAGTGTTGCTCTGCAGGCGGCTGAAGCGAGCAGCCAGGATGAAGGGCCGGAGCCCGAGGCCAGGCAGCAGGTAAGGGGCTGGGGTGCCCCATCTGCTGAGCTGTGGTGGAGCTGGGCTGCCGGGCCCCACTGGTCTCTGCCATCAGAATGGATCCTGGCACAAACAGATCTGGACGGAGCAGACTGAGGGCCTGGGCTGTGCTGGCCCAGTAAGACAAATCCCACCCTGGGTTACCTGCCTGTGTGTGCCGGGCTCCCCAGTTCCCCACGAGAGACGACCTCTCTCCCAGGCTGGCCATGCCTCAAGCAGAGCAGTTCCCATGCTGCACGCCAGGCAGGAGTCCTGGCACAGAGTGAGCAGGATGCCCTGGGAGTGGTGGAGAGGGCTGCAGCATCCTGTGCTGCAGCCCCGTGAGGAGCAGGAGGCCTCGGAGCAGAGCTATCTCTCCTGGTGGATGGGGAGGGAGGGCTGTGGAAATGGGCTGCTTTCTGCAGAAAGCAGCAGTGGGGAAGCTGGAAAGGCTGCACACCCCTCCATTCCCTGGGGGGTGGGCTGGCAGGGGCACCAGAGCCCTTGCTCAGCAGTGCTGGGCACCAGCGGGCTGGGCACAGTGTGGCAGGGCCTGCCCCGAGTGCCGCATCTGCTCGGGGTCTCTTGCATCCTCTGCCTATTCGATCTTGCTGGCTTTCTGCCAGACCCAGGGAATGGTCTGGCTGCCTTTTCCCTCCATCCCTGAATCCTGCTGCTGGGTTTGGTGGTGGGTGCAGTGAGCTGGAGCCCATTCTCTCGGGGCTGTGGAATGGCACCTCTCTTGCCTGAGCCCGCTGCCGCGTGGAGATGTTGCACTGCCCCCAGCACATGGCCTTGCTCTGGTCCCACCACCTTCCCTGGTGCCCTACAGCCATCGCAAGCTCTTCATTGTGACCCTTCCCATGCCTGTGTCACCAACAGCCATCCTTGCCAGCTCCTGCAGCTGCTGATGGGAATCCAGGCAGGATCAGTCCATGGGGTCTCCTCAAACCCCCACCTGCAGGTCCTGCTTGCTGCAGTGTGCTGTTTCCTGGGTGGTTTGGTGCTGACTGCCCCTTTACCAGTGAGTGGGTCCTTCCCCTGCAGCACTGGTCAAAATGCTTTGTGATTCCATGAGGTTGCCATTGGCTCCCATCCCTCTGCCCAGAGCAGGAGCTGGTTCTGGAAACCCACACACTGCTTTGCAGAGGCTGATCAATTTGGGGCTGTGCAACCACAATGATAGGTGGGGCACAGGCTAATCCAGGATGGACGGGACCTTGGGGAGTCCTGGTCCAACTGCCTGCATGGAGCAGGGCTGGCTATGGGTCAGCCCAGAACCTTATCCAGCTGGTTTTTGAAATCTTCCAAGGATGGAGATCCTGCAGCCCTGTGGCCTCTGCTCCAATGCAATACAGCCCTCACGGGGAAAAGGTTTTCCTTACCCCGAGCCTGAACCTTACATTTCCAGTCACGCCTGTTTTCTCTTGTGCTCTTCCCTCCACACTGGAAGAGCCAAGCAGCCCCTCACAGGTGGGGGTCGGCTGCTGCAGTGCCCCTGACCCACGGCAACCCCGACTGGAGCAGCCCGTGCCCCCCTCCCCTGCCACCCCGCTGTCCTGCTGCTCCCCCCGGTCCTCGTGCTGTGTACATAATGTCTTCTTGTCCTGGGGACCCAGAACCAGGTGCAGGATCCAGATGTGGCTTCCTGAATGTGAATGGGCTGATGCCCTCCAGCCATCTGAATCCCAATTCCTGGCAGGCCCGTGCTGTGTCCTGGGGCTCGCTGGGCTGTGCAGGCTGACACCAACCTGCTGCTGGGCTGTGGGGCCAGTGGCCAGGCTTGATTTTGCCTGGTCCCTGAGGGTGTCAGTCCCCTGCCCTGCTTTGGGCCACTTTGCTCTTCATTCCTTGTGGGCTCTGGGGTTTTGGCTCTGTTCTCTGAGGGAAGCAAAGCATTTGAGGATGTTGGGACCACATCTACACTGTGTGTGCACTGGGCCCTGGGCAGCCTCCTCTTCCCAGAGGAAAGCTTGGCCACAGCTTGGCCTGTGCCTGGACCACTCCCTCCGCTGGCAGCAGGTTCTTGCCAGGCTGCAGCCCCTGTGGCCCCGGGCTGAGCACTCACAGCCTGTGCCACTTGCTTGCTGCTGCTTGCCAGGTGTCCTGCTCCCTGGGGGCATGGTGCAGTGACGGGTGTCTGGTGTCTGGATGAGGACACAGAGACACCTCACTCACACCCAACAGATCAAATCGTGGCTGCTGATGTTTGATCTTTTGCTGTGTGACAAGGCAGCGCAGGATGTGGCTGCATCCAGCTCAGTTTCCCTGTGGGATGTGTGCAGGAAACTGCATCATTGCTGCAGAGGGCAGCTGTATCACACTGCTGGCAGCACATGATGCTGTTGCACCCATGTGTGACAAGGTGCCCAGTTAGCCCCAGTGAAGCCAGGGCAGGCCGTGCTCCCTGTGTCACTGCTGCTGGCAGAAGTGACACCTTAGGCCCTGGGCTCTGTGATGGTTGTTTTCTGTTTTCCAGGCTGGCCTCCAAATCTCAGCCTAAACAAAAGCACAGGGAGGACGTAGGGCCCAAGAAGAGGTAAATGGCTCCAGTGGAGAGAGCCTGAGAGCCAAGAGCCCCATGCAATCCCACCAGAGCCTGCGTGTTCCTGTGCTGCTGGGGATGTGGGACAGGTAGTTGGTGAGGGGTGGGTGCCTGACCAGCACTACATGTCACCCTCGAGATGGTAAAAGGGGCACAGGCAGCGCATGCAGCTGCAGGCAGGATGGCTCGTGACACTTTCACTTCCACTGGTCTCGCTGGCTGTGGCTCAGGGCTCCTCCCTCCTTGCAGGCTCTTCACGGAGCGGCAGCAGCTCAACTACCGCCTGCACTCGGTGTCATGCACAGGGACAGAGGTGCATCTCTCCATGTGCACCTTCGAGTTCTACCGAGGCAATGCCTCGGCTGCCTGCAGGGCCGGGATGCCCGCCGTCGTCAGCTGCCTGCCCGGGCCCCTCTTTGCTGCTGGGAATGCCCACAAGAAGAAACAGCGCCAGCAGCAGCAGGGCCAGGTGAGCCCTGTGGAGGGGGGGGACAAGTCCCGTGGTGGCCCAGAGCCAGACACTGCTCCCTGGCTGGGCTCTGTCCCAGGCTGCACTCCAGACTGGGTGTGTGGGTCCCTGGGTACCTGGCTCCAGAGCACGAGGTGGGGCTGGTGCCCTGTCCCTGTTCATCCCAGGAGTCGTGGCCAGCCCTGTGTTGTGCCATGCTGTGCTGTGCCATGCCGTGCAATCAGCACCCCGCCATTCATGCAGTGCCACGCTGGCTGTGCTGTGCCCCGCCGTGCCATCGGCACCACACCGTTCGCGCTGTCCCACACCACCCTGTCCCCTCCCACAGCCCCGGATCCGGCTGAAGGGCGGTGCGAGGGTCGGCGAGGGCCGTGTCGAGGTGCTCAAGAGCAGCGAGTGGGGCACGATCTGTGACGACCGCTGGAACCTGCTGTCGGCCAGCGTGGTGTGCCGGGAGCTGGGCTTTGGCAGCGCCAAGGAGGCCCTCACCGGTGCACGCATGGGCCAAGGTGAGGGTGCCGGGCCGGAGGGGCCAGGCATCCCCTCCTGGGGCTGCACATGAGGCACTTGTCTGGGCTCTGCTGGGCTGGGGGGAGCCACGGCTGGGCTTGTCCCGTGGGCACTGGGCTGCTGGATGCACATGGAGCATCCTGAGGGGACCATGGCCCCTCAACTGCACTGCCCCAGGCAGGAGCTGTGGAGGCTTGAGTGCACCAACTCCCTCGGACGTGCTGAGCGGCCGTGGGGACAGGGAGGCCCCGGCTACCCCCGTGTTATGGGGTCCTGAGTCCTGCTGACCCCTGGCAGGGACGGGACCCATCCACCTTAACGAGGTGCAGTGCCAGGGCACCGAGAAGTCTCTCTGGAGCTGCCCCTTCAGGAACATCACGCAGGAGGACTGCAAGCACACGGAGGACGCAGCTGTCCGCTGCAACATCCCCTACATGGGCTACGAGAACCTGGTGCGCACCACGGGGGGCTCTTGGCAATGGGACCCCAGAGTGGGGAGCTGAGGGAGGCCCATGGGATCCACTTTAGAGGGGCCCCTCGTCTCTCCTCCTCTGCACCCCATACATTTCTCTCTGCCCTGGGAGCTGAGGGATTTTGTGGGTGGGAGTCTCAGGCATCCCTATGAGGGGGAGTTAGAGAGGACGCTGCAGGGGACTTTGGGCACTGTGAGGGGTGATGTGGGGCAGCTGCTCCCTGCTGCTCTCCCTGCTGCCAGCCTGTGCCCACTCCCCAGCAGAAACATCAGAAAAAAAATCGCTGTGGGCAACCAAGAGAGATTTTTTTACCTGTGATGAAACGAGCAAATGAAGCTGTCTGTTCTCATTTGCCCTGGCCCATCATTTCATTCAGTTTGAGCTTTTAATGATTTTTAACTCTCTCATACCTGTCATTTCTGAAATGATACCATTTCAAAATGAACTGTTTTTCCTGCTCTGTTGAGACAATTCCCAAACTCACAACCAATTTCCTTTCCCCCAGTCTGCCAGCCTCAGCAAGTTCCCTGCTGCCCAAAGCTGTGCATTGCTCTGCTCAGTTCCTGGTTGCCCCCTCCCCATGTGCCTGAAGCCCCTGGCCCAGGGCCTGTCAGGCACCACAGCATAGCCCTGGCTGCGTCACTGCATCAGTCCTGGGAGCATCACCCGTAATGGTGATGATGCTGCCACTGCCTCTCTCTGCAGATTCGGCTGAGCGGGGGCCGGAGCCGCTTCGAGGGGCGGGTCGAGGTGGCGGTGGGGGCTGGCGACAGGGACCAGCCCCGCTGGGGTCTGGTCTGCGGTGAAGGCTGGGGTACGCTGGAGGCGATGGTGGCCTGTCGCCAGCTGGGTCTGGGATTCGCTAACCACGGCTTACAAGTAGGTGCCGGCACCAGCTTGGCCAGGGCAGCCAGCAGCCACCACCACTGCTCACGGGGCTGGGGACAGGCACGGACAGGGCTGGGGATGGGCGGGAGGTGGCACGCACAGGGTGCCTGCTCACGGCCCCAGGCCTTCCCCGCAGATCCGCCTGGCCGGCGGGAGGACGGTGTTCGAGGGCCGCGTGGAGGTGAAGCGAGGCAGTAAGTGGGGCACGGTCTGCAGCGATGGCTGGACCACAAAGGAGGCCATGGTGGCCTGTCGTCAGCTCGGCCTGGGCTACTCCCTGCATGCGGTGACGGTAGGTGCCAGCGGGGAGGCCCCCGGTGATGCCCTGGTGAGCACAGACACTGGCGCTTCCTGGACAGCTGTGGGGCTGTCTGGGGACAGAGGCACACGGCCACTCCGTGCTGCAGGACAGGACCCTTGTGGGCAGCCTGGGGCATAGGTAGGGCTGTGCATGGTGGGGGTCTGGCTGCAACCTGGGTGTGAGCGAATCGGGGCAACCGGGCCACCAGCCATGCCACCCACCCTGCCTGGCCCCTCCTCAGGAGACGTGGTACTGGGACGCCAGCAATGTGACAGAGATGGTCATGAGCGGGGTGAAGTGCGCCGGCCACGAGATGTCCCTGAGCCACTGCCAGCACCACGGCGCCAGCCTGAGCTGCAGGAACACGGGCACGCGCTTCGCCGCGGGCATCATCTGCTCCGAGAGTGAGCGGCCACGGGGGCTGCGGGCGGGGGGTGCTGCGGGCAATGGGGGCTGTGAGTGGTGGGGTCTGTGGGCACTGGGGTCTGTGGATGACAGTCCTGTGGGGCCAGGGATGCAGGTAAAGAGGCTGCAGGCAGTGGGGTTTGCAGATGAAGGGGCTGCAGGGTCAGCCCGTGCCCGGCGGATGGGGCCGCGTCCCCCCCGGCCAGTTCAACCCTGCCAGCACTGGGCACTGCCCTGACCCCGCTGAGCAGTGGGGCCTGTCCCAGAGCAGCTGCCTTTTCCCAGCTGCCTCCGACCTGCTGCTGCACGCACCACTGGTGCAGGAGACGGCCTACATCGAGGACCGGCCGCTGCACATGCTGTACTGCGCCGCCGAGGAGAACTGCCTCTCCAGCTCGGCCCGCCTGGCCAACTGGCCCTATGGGCACCGCCGCCTGCTCCGCTTCTCCTCCCAGATCCACAACCACGGCCGTGCCGACTTCCGCCCCAAGGCTGGCCGGCACTCCTGGGTCTGGCACGAGTGCCACCGGTGCGTGTGTGGCACAGGCAGAGACAGGGCGTGGGCAGGGACAGCCTGGGTGGGACGGGGAGAGGGTGATGGTGCTGCTGCAATGGGCTGAGTGAGGGTGACACTGGACAAGGGTGATGCTGGGCAGGGGTGACACTGAGAGAGGGTGACACTGTGTAAGTGTGACACCAAGTGAGAGTGATGCCGGGTGAGGGTAACGCTAGTTGAGGCTGACACTGAGTGAGGTACCATTGCTGCCCCTTGTTTGGCTCAGGGCTGTCCCTGAAGGAGCAGTGTTGGGGCTGGAGGCCTCATAGTGGGCAGGGACAGGGCTGTAGGCTGGGCCCTGTGGCTGAGCCCTCTGCTTGCCTGGGCCATCTGCCTGGGGACAGCTGTGTCCGCTCCCAGGGCAGGACAGAGCTCTGCCCCAACTCACAGTGCTGTGGCCTCCGAGCAGGGGCTGGGGGGACCTTCCTGGTGGTGAGGGGCCAGGCCCTCACCCAGGTGGTGTGGGGGGTTGACACAGGGCAGGGCAAGTCTCCTCTGCCCTGGGGGTCTCTGCCTCTGCCAGGCTCCAGTCAGCAGGCACTGGCTCGCTCCTGCAGGCACTACCACAGCATGGACATCTTCACCCACTACGACATCCTGACCCCCAACGGCACCAAGGTGGCTGAGGGACACAAGGCCAGCTTCTGCCTGGAGGACACCGAGTGCGAGGAAGGTGAGTGACACAGGGCCCTGCAGCACCGTCCCTGCCCGTGTCCCTCTCACAAGGCTGCTGGGGCCAGACTGGGTGGGCATCACAGGGGCTACAGAGGGGAGCTGCAGCAGGGATGAGCTGCATCTCCTCCTGCCTGCAGATGTGGCCAAGCGGTACGAGTGTGCCAACTTCGGGGAGCAGGGCATCACTGTGGGCTGCTGGGACCTGTACCGGCATGACATCGACTGCCAGTGGATCGATATCACTGATGTCAAGCCAGGCAACTACATCCTGCAGGTGCTGGACCTGAGCCGCCCCAGCCCCTCCTGCTACCCTACCATGTGCACCCCCACCCTCTGCCCCTACGCCCCAGATCTCCACATGCCCCAGCAACCTGGCCCTCTCTCCTGCTGGCACTGGGTGGGGCTGGCAGGTGTGCTGCTGTAGGACAGTGCCTGTCCTCATGCCCACAGACACGCAGGGCTGCTCAGACAGGCTTCTGCATGAGTTTTCCAGCTCTGAGCAGTGCTGCTCATGGGCATACGGTGCACAGGGATGGAGCCACCCCAGCACAGTGGCTCCTCGGAGCCCTCAGCACATCCAGGGCAGCTGGGGAGACACATCCTGTGGGGCTGGGGCACAGGGCTCATGTCCTGAGCACAGCTTCACTGAGGCTGGGAAGGTGTGGGACAGGGGGCTGTGCCCTCACTGTCAGTGCCCCACAGGTTGTGATCAACCCCAACTTCGAGGTGGCAGAAAGTGATTTCACCAACAACGCCATGAAATGCAACTGCAAGTACGACGGGCACCGCATCTGGGTGCACAGCTGCCACATCGGTAACGCCCAGGACACGGCCCAGGGGCGAGGGCACGTGGGCAGGGCTGCCCTGGGAGAAGGGCAGCGATGTGGCTGCAGGAGGCAGTGGGGATGGGGGTGGGCAGGGTCTGGGGCTCTGGGGGCAGCTCTCGTGGGAGGGGAGGTGCTAGCAGGATGGGTGACCTGCAGCACCAGAGCTGACAGCTCTTTCTCTCTGCCCGCAGGAGATGCACTCAGCGAGGAGGCCAACAAGCGGTTTGAGCAGTACCCAGGTCAGCTCAACAACCAGATTTCATAGGGCCCCGGACCCCAGAGAGATGGGCATCTCCCTCCCTCACCCCGTACGGGTGGGAGGAAGCCCCTGGGGGCTGGCAGGGAGGCCTCTTGCCCAGCACTGCTGCTGCTGGGGACTGCCCAGGACTTGCCACCGGCTGCCCTTCCCCACCTCGGGGGGCTGGTGCTGGAGGCACCGACACCTGCACCTCCCAGCCTGGGGCCGCCACCCCAACCACTGGCCAGAAGACCGTGCCCACGTTCCCTGGGCTGCGGCACACGGGTACGGTCTGGGAGGTCCTGCACCCCCCACCGCTTCAGTCCTTCCCATTCCAGCAGTACCCCACCTCCCACTCCTCCCTTTCAGCCCTGGTTCCTCTCACTCCACATCCCTCCCCACAGCTCAACCCCTGCGCTGGTCCCAGGACCCACCCTCCATGCAGGGACCGATTCCCCTGCCTGGCCTCAAGAGCCCCTGGTCCCCAGGGATGGTGAGGGTACCCCCGGCTCACAGCGCTGCCCAGGGGTGGCTCATACCCCATCTCTCAGTTGTAATTTTATTTTCTCTATAAAGTTGTTAGTTCTATTTCCCAGTGGCTGCTGGCACTTCTCTGCCCCACGTGGCACAGCTCGTGCTGCAGGGCTGGTTGGCACATTCTGGCACAGAGTGTGGGAGCATCCCCTGGCCAGCCCCTGCACTCCCTTGGATGGTAGAGTGAGGCAGTCCCCCTGTCCACACAGTGCTGGCCCCACACCAGCCCCCTGCCTGCACCCCCCTCAACCAGGCTCCCCCACTCTGGGAGAAGCCCGAGCGGGCGAGAGGAAGGGGCCAGCAGCAGTCCCACGGCACCGCGTCGGGGGAACTGAGGGGTCACTCTGGCACAGCTGGGGTGTGGTGAAGTGCTGGTTCCCCTGCACCAGATCCAGGGCAAATGTTATCAAGCAGAAATCCCACCCTGGGGCTGTGACCCATGAGGACGGGGGGCTCATGACAGAGGGGCTGCCTCGACTTGTGTGGGAGCAGAGCCTGGCAGGGCCAAGACATGCTGGGCAGGGACACTCGGACATGACACAAGGGCCAAGGGAGGCACAGCCCAGCTCTCACACCTCAGCCCGGTGCTCTGGTCGTGCCTGCAGCACACGAGTTGTAGGGACACCAGGCGCTGCCCCCGAGCCCGGGAGGAGGAGGAGGAGAGGGGCAGGCCTTGGCTGGGGCTGTGGAACGCGCTGCGGTCAGCGCAGCCGGAGCAGCTATGCCAGACACGCCGCGATTTCCCCCGCGCCGGCGGCGCTGGCCGGGGCAGCGAATTCCTCCGGCGAGGCCGGGGCTGCTGAAAGGACGCCTGTTCTCGGGGCAGGGGAGCGCCTGGGGGCAGGAGCGCAGTCCGCCCTCGCCGCAGCGCCCCCGAGGAACTGTGCTTCTTTCATTTCCCAGAGTAACAGCCGGGGCCCGGGAGCCCCGTCACGGGCAGGGCCTGGCCCGACACCCGCATTCCTGCCATCGCACCGGGCCCGACACCCGCATTCCTGCCATCGCACCGGGCCCGACACCCGCATTCCTGCCATCGCACCGGGCCCGACACCCGCATTCCTGCCATCGCAC